AGAGGGGGGGGGGGGGGGGGGGGCAGTAGGCTACCCTGCAAACGCCATCCTACGCGAATCTTTCATCGCGAATGAAAGGTCCACAAACCTCACACGGGTATGCTGAGTCACTCGTCAGCCATTTTTGGAGAGTGAGCGAGGAGTCATCGAACAGCTGATTGGCTCAGTCATAACACTACACAAACTGAAAGGCACAAATGCAAACCACAACACATTACGGTTCAAGCGAAAAGTACGCTCTGTGTGCCACTGTTTCACTTCTTAGCCACGGCCAGTGCTGGAAGAGTTTCTTACAATAGGCCACGATATGCCGTCCTTCCATACCCATTTCGATCTAATACAAAGTAAACTGGCAAATTTACAGACTTTTCAGTATTTAAATATCAGAAAATATTTAACGAAAATAAAATCGGAAGTGCGCGTCGAAATTTGGCGCTATAACACACTGGCATTTGTTACGCGCAAACTGACGAAAGTTTGGCTCTTGGTTTCAGAAACACAGTTCATATGCATCGAGGCCTTATATTAATATTTTCACCAGTTCGCAGAATTATTTCCGGATGCTGTTGTACAGCAAAATTGTCGTGAACAATGATCACCAACATCCTTTGTGACAAAGGAGGGGCTTCTATGAAAAACACCACCAAATGTTTCAAAATTTCTGGGCTTATCAAATAAAATTTACTCTAAACGCACGGAGGTAAGTTTTTTTTTGATCTCAAGGCGAGTATGACGATGACGGCAGTAAGCATCTCTGAAACGTCGTCCAATTTTTACCAGACCACGCAGCGCAACATCCTAGAAGACAGCCACCTTAATTCATCAAGATGTTCGGCAACAATATCAAACGTTTCCAGATACCACTAGGCTTAGGTTTTCGCTCAAGACGTACGCATAAAAACATACATGTGTACCCTTCATAAAATGTGGCTTGCAGTGTTCCTATTTCTAATTTCGTATTCAGAGGGAAGCCCCTCCCCCGCCAACGAATTGCGTGTTTCGGTGCCAAACCTGAGTGTCAACAGAACAGCAGAAAAAATGTCACTGCTAAATGGACCAGGAGCAAATGGCATCGATGTTTTGCGAGGAATTAAACACTGAACACAGTAGTCCAATAGACAATACGAATTGCTAATCTGCCAAATAAAAGTAAATGCACATTAAGCAGTGACCTAAAGGGCATAATCAGCTTGAAAAAGAAATTATTTTGGTTATCCTGAAAGAGTGACCACAGTCACTGACATCATCCATGTACATCGCAGTATTTACAAAGATAATTTTTTTTTTTGGGGGGGGGAACTTCTTACACAGTCTGAGCCTTCAATGAGTGGTGTTAATGGTTTAAGTAGGTTTATTGGAGACTTTGTTAGAATTCCTTGAGATGTATGGCTTAAAAATAAAAGGCACAAATATCTGACACCAAAGTCAAATAGAAAAAAAAAGTATATGGCATCCAGTCCTGTAGGTGTTTACTGACATTTCAGATAAAATGTCCCTCACTGTAAACACCTAAATAACTATATGGCATCAGAGTGCAGAATATCACAATCAACATTTTCACCAACTTTTTAAAAATTGTGAAAGGTGGAAAATGTCAATATGTGAACAAGCATTCTTCATCTAATCTTGGAATCAAGCTAGAACACAGGGCCCAACTGTGAAGTGCTGTGCTTCTCAGTTTCTCAGAAAAGTGATTTGACCATCATGTGTGGTACAAGCCGAGGGTTTGGTATTTTAGTTATAAACTTGGGAAGGTGCCATGAAAAACATAGTTCACTAACCAACTCCCACATATCACACTGCAACAGAAACCAATAACCTTTAAAGGCACTGAAATTCGTTAATTCCATCTAAGAAATACCAGTAATCTGTTACAAAATTGAAATGAAAATAAATTCTCATTCATCTGAATTTTGGCTTTAGAATTTTGAATTCATCCACTGGTATCATTCAAAAAACAAAACAAAAAAAAACATCACGTTTATCTGTCAAAGGGATCTATACACCCGTGGCTACCATTCATTCTTAAATCAAGCCATTATAAGCAAAACATATCACAAAAATACTCTTATAAAAATTCTTCAGCTGGTGGAAATTTCTAGTCACACGTGTACAAAAAGCATCCGGAGAGAAACAATGAACGCATTTAAAAACAAATTTACACTAGATTCAAATCCAATATTACACCTACTTAATAGTTAACTGCCTTTTAATTATCTGGAAATCAATTACCGGGTCTTCCCATTGCAGAGTTTAACACACGTAAAGTATATCGAAATTGATTAAATAGCACATATTTAAAAGCAAAAGACAGTTTAGGCACTGGAATACCACCAAGTATACAAGTGCCTTTATTTATACACGAGCGTTCTACTTACTCTTGAAAATGGGCCAGTCATCGGTGTTGATCGCCATCTCGGACCATTATCAAAAAACATTTTTCTATCCTGATCAAGGTGTTCTTTTAATTCATTTAATATTTCATCGCCCGACTTACCACGTAATCGTTCACTTAGTCTTGGTTTATCACGAAACGAAAATGACATAACGTACACAGAACCGACAATCGGATTATATACTACACACACTCTGATACCTAGAATCTACGAGAACATTCTTCAATGCTTGTACTTGTTCAGCCAATGGAAGAGACGTTTAGAAACTGTATACTTTCTATCCAATGGACACAGGCGTTGTTCATAAACCCTTCGAGACAAGTTCATTGGCTAGGAATATTCGAGACTGTTGGAGAAGTGTCGGCAATGACATCGATTTATGAAAATCGAACGCACCACGGAATATCAACCCACAGATTTCTAATTCATGTTCAAGTTCCCCACAGATTTTCACCAACAAAATGACTTGAGAAAGAAACGCGATCATCATAGATAACATACGTAACGCGTGTTTAATTAATGTCACAGATTAGATCTATGATAATGATCTCTAAAGTCGATACGATTAATCGATAATTGTTTAAGTTAAAATATATTTTGTATATAATTTTTATAGGTTGTAGATTACATTTGAAAGGATTTGGCAGCTTGTGATTGAACTAATGTCATAAACCTTTAATTCTGTTACAAAAAACTGCTGCGAATTACGAAGGTACTTTATAAGGTGTTTAGGACGGGGTGTCATTATTGTCTAAGAACATTAACCTCCAAAGTCATTTGTTATTAATGCAGAATGAACATAAAGTTATTTTAAGTAGTCGTAAGTAATTTATAATGCAAGTTTTAAAATTAACATGTACATGATTAGAAAGAAAGCATTTTTAAATATGTGAAACGTCGTGTTTCGGTTAGGAGCCACATTAGAGAATGCTATTTCCATCAACAGCATGTTTCTCCAAAATGTTCATATCTACCTACAAGTTCACACGGCGTTACAACACAGAAAACTAACATTGACTTGAAGGTGTCTGTTTTTTGGCATGTTGCACCACATAGTGTGCTAGAAATTTACAGACAGATTGGCAATCATTAACCTAATGTAGATACTGTGAGCACCTTTGACTCTTCGGTCAATTTGTACCAGACTACACAGTTCAACATCCAAGAAGACAGGCACATTTGTAAATTTGCACAGCGATGAGTATGAAGATGGCTGTCTTCTGGGTTGCATTGCCCTGATGGTGGAGGCAACAAGAACTTCCGTAACATTGGTAAACTTGTACCTGATTTCACATGTTACAACACAGAAGACAACCATCTATATCATCATATTTGTCATTGTTGTGAGAACCTGAATTCTCACCAATATTGAGAGATGACCACTGTGAGAACCTCAGATGTCATATTTTAAATTTTTATGGCATGTTTTATTAAGTTTCATTTCAATAGTTAATAATATTTAGGAATGTTAAAAGTATGTTTTTTACAGATGGCACCGTCTACACTTGATGTAACACACAAATTGTCATGCTGTGTGTGTGAAGAAAATTTAGAAACTGTCGCTTCTCTGCATTACCACCAAATGTGCTATCATACAACAGAAGAACTTTCACTGGCCTTATTGACTCTGAGAGGGCTTAAGTTGTTCGCAGGGAATCAAGAACAACCAACAGATAGTGAAGATGCTGTTCTCCAGACTGGTCTAGCCAAATATCCACATTTTCTTGTGAATCAAGACTTTGACAAGATGGACAGTGATTCAGAATCCACCGCAACAGCTGAATCATCAAAGTTGCAAGGTGCAATATCAACATTAGATGGTGAGAGTATTGTGGTACCTGTGGTTAGATTCTGTCATCAAACAAATACAAATGATGAAGTTCCATTAACCAACCATTCTGCTGATGAGTTCTCAGAAAGTAAATTAAGTGACATTAATATGACTCCATTAGGAAATGGGAGGAAACAGAAAACAAAGGTGGCTCTGAGGAAAAGAAAGAATGATGGTACAATTTCCAAAACTACCAAATTGTCAAAAAAAAATTGCAATCTGAAATTCAGGACAAAGCAATCCAATAAGAATAATGCTGACCAGAATACGGGAAACCTAATACTTACATGTCACAGTGATGATAATAAAACTGTCAGTAGCAAACCTGAAAATAGTTCAGATAATGATACTGATGCTGAAATGAAGAAATGTGCTTCAAGGCTGAATGGTATTGAAGGTTATGTCATTCCAACAAGGGAAAAATCCTGTGAAGGATTTTCTGCTATTTTTATAAAAAGTGATGTTGAAACTAATGGGTCAGAGGCTGGAAGTGCAGAGTCCCTAAATCTAACTCTTGACATACAGTGTACGGAAGAAAGTGGTAGCCTGTTGATCAGCACCCCAAATCAATGTAAGGCTGAAGAGCAGAGTCCCCTTCACAAACTGAGTTCTTGTTCATCCCTGTCTTCTGTTGATTACCTCCCTTCGCCAGATAATTCCCCACATCCTGAGTGTCATATCAAAGCAATAATTTCAAGATTGCCTAACATTATAATCCCTGATACTCACCAAAATTCCAATATGAAATCCCAAGGTAGGCGAACCAGTAGAAAGAAACAGAGAACCCCACGAAGGTATGTGAATGACAGCTACGTTTTGCCATCTCCTGTTTCAAAACACCACCATTCTAGTGTTCTCTATGATTATGGTAACAAACAACAGAGTAATGACTACTGCAAAGAGAATGTACAGTTTCAAGATTTCTTTGTTCCAAATGTAAAGTTAGAAAATGTTGTTGATGCAGAATGTGGCACCAGTCCTTTGGATATCTCTGAGAAAGAGGTACAGACAACCATGTTGACTCCATCTGATGATGATTCTGGGATACAGGTGGATGAACGGGAAAAGAAATGTACGAAGAATCATGTAGATGAGTGTATAAACAAAGAAACACAGACAGGGCTTCTCAGCATCACAACTCAGCGGTTGGCAGCTTACCGTAAACAGCCTTCGAGGAAGTGTCAGAAAGAACAGCTTAATAAAAAATTTGACACCAGTTGCAGCACAAATATGGTGCCACAGAAAGAAGTGCTTAAGAACACTATTTCTGGCACCTCAGAGAGATGCGTCTTTCTGTCACCATCATCACATTTCAACAAAAGTACCAACACTTCTGGTAGTGATGTGTTGGGAAATTCAAGAGTTACAGGACCTGAAACAGAAGGAAAAATGAATGTGTGGAATAAGAGCCTTATGAAGATTTACCCAAGAGGTATGACTGAACGTAGATTCTTCTGTGAACCTTGTGGCAAAGGCTACAAGAAGAAATCTCACCTGGAGCGACATGTTCGAGTTCACACAGGTGAACGTCCATTCCAGTGCTCACACTGTGAGAAGCGGTTTGCAGTGCGCTCGATACTAAAGCAGCATGTTAGAACGCATACAGGTGAGAAACCATACTGTTGCACAATTTGTCATCAGCGCTTTCCACAAAAGTCTGGACTCATGACTCATACCATGTTACACACAGGCAAACCATTTAAATGTGACCTCTGTGAAAAAGCATTTGTCTCGAACCACAAGCTTGTTCAGCATCTGAAGAGTCATGGTGGACCTCGCAAACACGTCTGTCCAACCTGTAGTACTGAATTCTTCACAGAAGGTGCACTGTTGCAGCACAAGCAGGCACATAGTCACAAGAATCCTCACTTGTGTATGATATGCGGGAACA